ACATTCTCTTGAGCATGAGGAATTGACATTGAGAACAAGACACAGTGTGGTTCAAACACAATGACATGGAGACACTGGACATTGAAGATATGACATCAGCCTTGAAACCAAACCTTTCAAATCATGTCAGCACACAATTTATCCAAACACAGTGTTCTTTTAATTTTATTGCATATTAACATATCAAACCATTAAGAACTGGCATGAAGGCCGCAAAAATACATTGAAACCTTTCACAGATTTTTTTTTGTTGCTGTTAAACATGTAAGACAGTAATGCCTGCCTGAGATCTGTCAGGAGGGACAAAGTCACCTATCCTATGATGTCTGCTCTTTACACATGATGTGGAATGGAATGAGGGGGTGGCAAATGAGGACCAAATGTGAAGAAAAGGCAGTGGAAGTGAGCAGAGGTAGGTTGTTATCAACGTTTTTCATACCTCCACCAAAAAGATTACAAAAAAACAAAACTCTGCTGGTTCCAGCATTTTGGAAACATCATGTTAGTGCACTTCAAATAACTACTTGATGAGAAATGATAGAAAGACATGAAGCATTAAAGCATCCTACACAATTTGAGCACCTTCAAAAGACCATCTCTTTTAATTAAAAAAAATTTAATAGCTGGCTAGCCCATGAAATTCAATAAAATCCCCTTTAAATAAATTATAAATCCAATATCAAGGTACTTTGTTATATGAACATTTTATTACCTAAATTTTACTATCAACTAGAATGCACAGATTTGCAAAACAGGGCAACTTCTCTCACTTATTTCCTTTCTCTACCACCTGCATTTTCTGATGGCTCAATAAAAAACCCCATCATTCTGTTGTTTTCTAATATTTCAAGGACAAGTGATCTTTTTATTAGTGCTCTAGGAAGAGCTTGTTCTTAGGCAAAACTTCTCTGAAGTCAGTGGAATACCATTTAGCCTTTATATGACATGCTGAAAAATCCAGGGTCGAAGGAGGGTAAGAAAAAAAATATATAAAGACTTTAAAACGCACATGTGAAAGGGGATTGCAAAATGACAGATTAAAGTACATCCAACATCCTGTATAGTCAAAACAGGCTATTTCACTTTTCCCTTTTTATCAGTCGTGATCATTTATGCTTCCATTTGCCTTTATAACCTGTTCTTGGTACTTGTGAAGCTGCTCCATGAAGCCAGGATTTGGACAAGCTGCAGGCCTCGCACTTTTCACTAAGGAAAAGGCTCTGGCAAAGCTCAGTCTTTCTGAATTCATTAGAAAACCAATGACTACTGCTGCTGCACGGGAGACTCCTGCATTACAGTGGACCAGTACCACGCCATCCTTCAAGAAAGAAATGAAACATAAGTTGGGATATTCATTAGGTAGATAACAAGTATAAAAAACTATATAGAAAAATCTGTTAAGACTTAATTGAAAGCTCCTTGCTGAGTTCAAAGTAAATATATACACATATAAATAAGTTCAAACACAGATATATAAGTTCAAAACTAAGTATTTTTCTAACCAAAGCCACTTTTTAATTACCAAATACTTCAAACCTAAGTCATACCATATAACTAAAACACATTCCTCTGTCCCTTTCCCTCAGACCTCACAGCAGCCCCCTCGTGTAAAAAGCAAAATCACAGACACCTGGGACACCAAGATTATCTGATATAATTGGGTGCCAATTTTAAAACAGATTTTATTTGCAATATGGAAAGGAGCTTGACTATATCTTGTTAAAGGTTAAAAACATAGCAAGGCAGCCAACAGCTAGGTACAAAGGCAGGTTTTAGAACATCTTGTAATTTCAGTTGCTACTTGCATACCCTGGAGATCTTCAGGGAAGATTCTGGGTAAGCAGGATTGTGTATAGGAACAGAAAAATCAGAAAAGATATAATGTGATTTGCAATCCATCTCTCCGTGCCACTCACACCAGTACCACTGCAGTGGCTGGTACAGCTGGTGCAACTAAGGTCCCTTAACTGGGGACCAAGGTGCAAGATCCAAACTACTGAACCTCACAAATTCACAGATGCTTCTTCTGGGGGTTGAATTCAGGATGATCCCATATACCTATAAAATGTATGGGTTTTATTCTACTTAAACATTTCCCACACAACCTGAGACACCTGAACAGCTCTTTAAAAAGACACTGCAAGTTTTGTTAAGAAATAATGAGCATTAATTAATGCAAAGACAACTAGACAATCTAGTGTGGCTTAGGCAACATTTGCAAGGCCCAAGTTTTGTGACCTTGTCATGTTTGTACATCAGACTATGACCTGGAAAAGGCTCTGTGCAAACTGTTTGCCAAATACCCCTTGGACACCAAAAAACCCACCACCCCTAGTACCTCCATATTCTGAATGAAGATACTGAAACATGACACAATGTGCTCAGGTGCTTGAGGCTAAATAAATCTACTCTAGATATAAACAGCCTGCTCTGTCTGCCCTTAACAGGCACGAATTATTTTATGGCATTTCACCCAGAGACAAAAAGACCTTATGAGCACCAGGGTTCCTTTCCAGGAACTTGATGGTTTATGCTACACCTCTGGGAGCTGTAATTATCGGGTATATTGATAAACACACAGAACAGAAAATTGTTCCAGCTCCAAAGATCTTCCAGTTTAAATAACAAGACAAAGTAGTAAGAAATGGAGCATTATTATCCTTGTTGAAATGCTAAGCTGATACTAGAAGAATGACTTGCACAACAAGATTATGGCAGAGCTAGGACTGAAACTAAGCTCCTGCATCCCAGCAGAATGAATCACAATAGCACCTTTTTTGCAAAGGAAATCACATCCCCCTCTGCACTGCCTGCTGGAAATTGCACTCTTCATTCCCTTTCTCACATTCACAGGGCTGTGCCTCCTCATCACATAGACTATGGCAGAGTGGAAAGCAGACCTGTACATCTATCTATATCGACTACCTGATAAAGTGCCAGTGGTGGCCTGTAAATCCACTACCTCCTTTAGGATAATGACATGAAAAATTATGCCACTGCTAATGAAGCAATTGCTGACGCTTATCCACTGTAGATGTGGAGTAGTTTTTACTGATTTAATGGGAGTTATTTCAGACATAATATACTATAGTCAAAATTAATGTCTAGCAGTGGCACTGAGGGTAAATAATACGCATTGGACATGATCTTTTTTTCCCCTTGGTATAGTTTATGTTTTGTTTTCTTCTTTCATGTTTAAGTTTGGGGTTTTTTTAATAACTGTTCTGTTTTACATTGCCAAAAATTGTATAGTGATATCCAATGATCCTGAAAATTACTGAACATCAATGAACACGGGCAATAAGATTAAACCAAATTTAATACTGAGAACATCTGTCTTTCCTTGCTAAACCCAATTGCAAACATGAATTCATCATGTCATTCTTCACTGATTTTGTATTAGCTATGAATACAGAATAAAAGTGAGAAACAGATTGTAGATATGAAATTCGTCTCTATTTAATAAGAACTCCTTGCTCTGATCCTGATAGCCCAACCTTTGCCTACCCAGGAATGGTCCATGGTCTTGCAAGAACCTCTTAAGATTCATGACCAAATTGGGGGTTTTTTCAAATTCTTATAGTGATGAAAACAAAATCACCTTCCATCAACAGAGAAGGTGATTCTAATGTGGTTATACACAGTGGGCAAAAAGCCTCAACATGAAAAGAAATTAAAAAGCATAAAGATTTTGGTGAAGTTACAGGCTAATGTCATTTCCTACAGATCTGTTTTGCTTTGCAGTGGAGCCAAGGCTTTTTCCTTAGGAAAGACAGAGGGAGCAATAAGGAGAGATGTTAATGAATAAGTAAAGATCTCCTCTTTTGAAACACAAGACTTGAGAGGTTCTAATAGTAGATATTAAACAGAAAGATAAAAAAGTATCCCTCATTCATAGCACTATAACCTGACATGGGTTGCCTAACATGTCATGGAAAACCTGCCTGCCAGTTTGGAGCCTAGAAGAAAAGATGAGCTCTGATCAGTATCAGAATTTGTACCATGGTGTCCACAGTCTTGAGTCATTATAGTTTTAGAGAAGTCAGGCCTGTTACAAGTACCAGCTGGCAGTGACTTACAGAACAGTGTAGGCTTTACTTGCATCCTCAAATTCAAGTGCTGTCATATTCTTTCATTGAGTTAACCACCTTCTAGTCATAATTTCTCATATATCATGCTCTCTCACCAGTAAATATCTCTCCCTCCCCACAGTAGGAGATGAAATAGTAGTATGTTTTTGTGATTACTTGAACAGAAGAGCACCTCATGACACAATTTCTTGTAAGCTCTTTTAACACTATTTTGACAAAGCAAATAAAGTGATTCAAACCAGCCAGAGATCTGACTCCACATACCACTATCACATGCTTTGTGAACTGATCCTGGAGAACACCTCTTCCATCAATTACCTGCTCCTTCATCCACCTCTCCCGTTAGAAAACTGTTAATATTGCTGCAGAAGTTTTTCTGAAAATTCCTTAGCTTACAAAATAGTAACTGGGACAAACACCAAAGGCAGAAAGCAAAACTGTGCAGTTATGAATGACAACTCTCATTTAGAAATTAATTGGAAACCGTAACTAGAGACCTTGAAAAAGTCATTAAGTGACAATGCATATCACATAGCTCGTAAATGTTAAATGAGAGAAGGAAAGAACACTGCAACACAAAGAAAGCTGGGGCAAGATTATCTCCTTTTATCCCCATCTACATAAATAATGAATTTGGTAGATATGGTGGAATAACATGCAATAAGGTTTAGTTGTCAAGTCATAGTTTTGATAGCAAAGCAATGGTTGTCACAAATTACAGGAAGCCTGAATATAACAGCTGTGAGTCAGGGATGCTCCTGGTTACAGACATCTCTGCCAAGCAACCCCAGAAGGAGTCCCTTCAGGCTATTTCCTATGTCACATCTCTTTCAGGATTTTGTGAGCAGTTAAATCATTTGTTGACTCCAAGACTACTAACATATTCTCTGACATTCTTGGTACAATATGTGGATTCATAGCTCAATGTGTAGCATCTTCTTTGAGCAACCTGGTCTAGTGGGAGGTGTCCCTGTCTATGGCAGAGGGGTTGGAACAATATGATCTTTGAGGTCCCTTCCAACCCAGGCCATTCCATGATTCTGTAATGAAAAGCACTAGGATGGTGAACAGCTGATGACAAACCATACACATCTGTAAAAGCCCTGTTAGGCTTGCTTCTAATCCAAAAGAACATCCCTGATGGATAAGTAAATTTTCTCCTTTTCCTTCTGTCAGGGGTAGTGACTTGGACTTAGGATAGGATTCCTTTATCTAAAATCTTTCTCTCTCTCTTTATTTCTTTACCTAAAATCAGCCACTGGTCCAACTGCATTAAAGAAGCATTTCTCTACAGCATGCAAGACAGTCATTATGAAAAGGCAGTGCTGGAATGGACATTAACAGCAGTGCCATACCTCTAGCTTAGAAATGGCTTGGATTCTCTACTTAAAATTAAAACAAGACAATGGCAAAACTATTCATTTGGTACCATACTTCCTTTTGGACAAAAGAAGCTGCTTTAATTCTTAAATAGTGTAATAAATAATCTAAACAGGATAACTACTAACATGAATTATTGATATACCATACCTGGATCTTGGCTTTCTCAATAAACTCAAAGCATTCAGGGAAATAGGAGGTAATATCAGTTTCTGGGAGGTCCAGGATAGAAATAGTCTTGTATATAAAGTCATCGAGGAAGGCATTTTCGACTCCATATGCCACGTTTAGAACATGAGTAACCTATGTCAAAAAATAAAAGCAAAAGGCATTTTCTGAAGACAGCAAGCAAAATGGGCAGTAGCAAAGGCTAATTATTCTTTAGGCATACACAGACTGTACCTTACGCAGCTGCAGCGTTCAGTTTTACATACATACCCTGCCTATGGTATGCTTTACTCCAAGCAAAGTTTTCATGTGTGCTAAAACACATTGTGATCAATTTCAAGGGTTTTCTGAGAGCAAACTGAAAGATCAGTCCTCAAATGCACACAGACTAAAATAGGTATTTTCAACAGAAAAGAGAGTTGTCAGCATGTAGATGGAAAGATAAAAGAGAAAACAATAGGAATGAGAGCACAGGCCACCCAAAAACCCTCCAAATTTCAAGCCCGCCTTAACCCATCAGCTTAATGTTCCTTCTGGTGAGATACTGGAACCGTTTACTGGAGCAGAAGGATTTCAGAGTAAACTATACCTGCCCCTGGCAAAGGAGACCACCTTTGGCCTCCTGCCATCTCTGCTCTGTCCAGGCTATGGCCAGGATGTGGGTTAATTTACAGCGAAGTGACATTTAGACGGCACCAGATGCCAGCCTGGTGCACTCCCTGTCCTGCAGAAGCACCACTGTCCGAAGGCCTTATCACCCCATTACTGTAACAGAGAAGAGTAAAAAGACCAAAGTTCGGGACAGACACAGAGCTGCTGCTTTGTTTTCCTAGTTTCATCAATCCCTATAAGGCAAGGAGGGATGGTGTTGCTTAGTGTCTGAGGCAGAAATGTGTATGGCAGTGCAGGAATCTGTTCCATTAAACAGCCCTAAATAACCATCATTCTTGCAGCAAAGCAAGACTCTTTCAGCGGTGCCCAGTGACAGGATGAGGAGCAATGGCCATAAACTAAACCACAGTAAGTTCCACCTCAACATGAGGAAGAACCTGTGCACGTTGAGGGTGTCAGAGCACTGGAGCAGCTGCCCAGGGAGGCTGTAGAGTCTCCCTGTCCGGAGACATTCCAAACCCACCTGGACATGTTCGTGTGTCACCTGCTCTAGATGACCCTGCCCTGGCAGGGGGGTTGGACTACATCTCCAGAGATCCCTTCCAACCCTAACGATTCTGGGATTGTGTGAAAGCATTTCAGCTTCTCGTGAAGCTCACAGGCGCCCATCCATCTGCAAAAGGAGCAGCCTTTTGAAAACGCAAATGGAACATAGTTTTTCTCAGAGTTCCTCGAGAATATCTTACAACATTTAAGTCAAAAGAGAAACCCACCGCACGCATTACGGGAGATGCGTTTGTACCTCGGGGTAACGTTACCTTATGCTTCCTCATCGTCTCCAGGTCGTGAGCAGCATC